GGTCAAAGAGGAAAATTTTGCCCTAACATGAAAAAGCAAAAAGAAAAAAAATGCTGCACTTGAAGAAAGCTAATGCAAGTGTTGACAATTAAGGGGATGCCCTTGATACATTCAGCTATCCAATTTTGCTATATCCTGTAATTTTTCCCTTTCATAGCATTTATCAGGTTCATATGTAAGGTACCTTGTTTAGATGCTGGAAAACATGCTGCCATGTTTTCTGACATGAGTTTTGTCCTGGAAGCCAGCAGTTTTATTCCTCCAAATAACAGACTATACTTAAGTAGTTGCACCAAAGATTAGAAAGCCTGTTCATAAAATATTCATAAAAATGTATCTGTCTTATGACCAGAACTATCTTTTAATGAATGACTAAAACAAGCAACATCCCCTCACTTGCTCAGGGCAGATTTACCTATAGAATAACCTGTGAATTTAATACACACAGGAAATTCCCCCAAACAGATTTTCCTGAGGGACTGGGGAGTGTCAGGGGGAAAGAAGAATATATGTACAAACACACACTGCTGCATTTTTGAATTCTGATATGGCAAGCAAAGCAGAACAAAAAACATCTGTCAATTCCACACAGCAAAGCCCAGCTCCCATATGCCACCCTTTCTCCAGAGAGGATTACTGTTTTAATATGCTGAGTTCACATCATTTATTCTGCATTCAGTGGGCAAAACAAACAAACAAAATCTATCTATATAATATGATTTAACCCTGATCCATGCACAGAACCCCAGAAGTGGCCTTTCTGCAGGGAAATTGTGTGGTGACCAGAAGAAAGCAGGTTTCCTTAGGCTACTAAGCAATGGTAACTGCAACTGCAGCTGCTGCTGCAGCCTCTGGCCAAACTTCTGCTTGCTACAAACATCCAGAGCCACTCTCTGATCAGGTAATCTGCATAGCCATAGACTCACCAGCTCCTCTAAATCTTTGTCATATTATTTCATACTACCTTTGCAAGTGGGTTTATTCACTGATATAACACTGGTCCCTGCTTCTGCAGTATGCTTTCTGTTGCCATGGAAGCAGTGAAACAACAGCCATTGCCTGTGTCCAGAACTTACCAAAGCCTGGGAGGAAAGGCAGACTTTGCTGCAGAGGGAAGAAAGCACCTGGACAAAGAGACAATGACCTGCAGTCACATTTAATGCAGTGCAACTTTGCTAACACACTAGATTGTACTGGAAAAGAATTTCATATCATGTTTCTAATAACTGTAGCAGCTACTGTCTGCCTGACAAGCACAAAGAAAGGTGCTTTCTTTACCTAAAGAAGTTTCACCAACAATGCTTTAGGGGGCCAAGGTCTTAACTCAAACTGAGCTCTAAAAAATCAGCTTGCAGTCACCAGGGGCATCCACTGATTGCCAAGTTTTCTTTTTGTTGACGGAATAATAAATCACTCCTAAAAACTCATTCTAGACGAGTCAGAAGAGGCCTATTGTCCACATCTATGAATTTAATATTTTAGTTCCCCAGCTCCTTTAAATGTTTTTATGAGCTTGATTGGTTTTGCTGAAGCAAAGCATAAACAAACAATTTTATGCTTTATGCTAAATGTTCTATGACACTTCTCTGAGTTTGCTTGAAGGTGGGTAGAAAAGCTGTCAGGAATAGTGCAGATCCTGTACATATGACTATCCAACACATAGATGCATTCGTAAGTCACACATCACCACACCTTCTTGTAAGACTATCATGACTGAAATGGACAGGAGGTGTTTCTGAATTAGTTACCACCAGCACATTTTCCTTTAGGAGATGGTATGGATCAGACACTCGTGGTGAATTGCCCCTAGACAAACACCCAGTGTCTACAAAAGCTGCTCTATCACTCCCCTCCTCAGCTTGAGAAGAGACAGAAAATATAACAAAGGGCTCAACAAAGGGTCAAAAAAGAACACAGAGAGATCACTCACTAGTTGCTGTCTTGGGCAAAACAGACTAGACTTGGGGAAATTAGTTTAATTTACTATCAATTTATTAGTAAATGTACTGCCAACCCCATTGGCAGCTAGGAATCCATTGCTGGCAACACAACAGAAATGGTGAAGTGGCATCTTAGCTGTACCTTGGTTACTTATTCCTGAGAAAATGGTTGTTCCAGCTGAGTCTTAGGTGAGGACCTAAGTGAAAGCCCAGAGAGAAGGGTGGGAAATGCACTCTAGACATGTCCATACTTGCCCATCAATGTCACCTTTAGACTGGTGTGAGACAGACTTGCCCCATGCTGGGACACAGGCACTGATGAGCCTTCTCCTCCTCTGTTGGACTAGAATCCCATGTAGCTGTGAGAGTCACTGAGCCAGCCATGCCAGAGCATGCTGACAGAAGATGTAGGTCGGTCACAGGTTCCCAGGAGTGCCTGATGCCTCTTTGTGAGGCTGGGGATGATGAGTTCTTTTGCAGAAGGTGTGCTGTGGGTGAGGAGCCGACTCACCAGGTGAAGGAGCTACAGGAAGAAGTGGACAGGCTACTCAATATTTGAGTGAATGAACAAGAGATAGACTGATTGTTTTCAGAGACACTAGAGTCTCAAGACTTTTGGGAGTCTTGAATCTCCAGTATAGTGGAGAAGCAGGTGGACTCAGAACCCTACAGGGGAATTAGTCAAAGGACTGTTAGTCAAGGTTCTGTTGAAGATGAAGGCTGGAACTGGGTCACTGTGCATACCAGGAGGAAGGCTCATCTTCCTTCTCAGTGTTTGCTGACCCAGGGAAATGGTCACAATCCCAAGCCTGACAGAGTTCAAGAAGCATTTGGACAATGCTCTTGGGCACATGCTGTGACTCTCAGAGATGGTCCTTTGCAGGGCCAAGAGTTGGCCTTGATGATCCATGTGGGTCCCTTCCAACTCAATATGTTCTGTGATTCTGTGGCAAGATCTGTCACTAACAAAAAGTAACCACTTCAGCTAACTCACATATAACCCCTCTCCTAACTCTGTAAGAAACAAACACAGAGAATTAGCACAACTCTTCCTGCCCTTACAGCAGTCACACAGCTTGCATGGTATCCTTCCCACCAGACACATCTTTATAGTGAGTTTCTAGAATAGAGGCTGGCTACTATTGTGTTTCACTGTACCTATCATAAATGCACTCTTAATTGGCCTTTAGGCAGTCCAAAGATAAAATGTAATTTATAGGAGGAATTTTTCCAGTTTCTAAAGTTATATCGCAATGTGAGTTTTTTGGTTCATTTTACCAGAGAAGTACCTGATCCCCCTGAGTCTCCCAGAATGAAGCAATTATGCGTGAAACAGGCAGAAAAAGAACTCTTAAATAATTTTTATTAGAGTGTGCTGATTATTTTCAAGCCAGATTCATGATTTCACAACAATCAATGCTGATACAGGAAATGCAATTTAAGTGGTATCACTCATTACCCACTCTCTCCAATAACAGTTACATATTTGGCAAGAAAAAATTCTACAACAGCTTCTCAGCTCTTGCTGTTTTACTTGGGGTAACCCACCAGCAAAGTTTAAAAAAAGATATTTATTTTATTTAAAGGCTAGACGTGTGCTAATGGGTATGAACCACTACTGGACATCCCCATACCACTCAGAGTAATTTCCTGGAATTTAGTGCTGATTTACAGACAAAAATCTTCTCTGCTCACAGTTTTTCTGTTCCCAGTAACCCTTCTGGCTACCTCCACTACCTGGAGGCCCCTGACCTGCCTTTTACAAGGCTATCAACAATTGCCCTGACTTCTGAGCCAGCAGAAACACTGTAAATCTTTCCTAACAGGGAAGATGTGTTGGTATGGCAACGTGTGTTACAGCTCTGAAAAGTCTTTTTCAATGATTTGGAGTCAGACTACAGATTTGCCTTCCATACCTGCCTGCAGGCATGAAGTACATTTTTGATTTTACCCTCTCATGAAGCTTGTCTACTCATTGCAGAGCATGGATTCACATATCGACTCTGGATAAATGAAAAGAGAACAGCGAGAAAAGAAAAGGGGCTGATGAGAGCCTTCACCTCCATTTCCATAGCAGCCAAAATACTAACTACTATCTGAACAAGAACAGCAGGTAATTTCTCTTTTTCCCCCAAAAGGAGAAAGACAGGAAATAAACAACGACTGCTTGAGTCACACTTCTCTCCTTGTACATTACAGCTGAACATCACAATGTAAGAATAAGCTTATAGGGACAAGTCAACTTTTGCAGACCTTATTAATGTGCTTCAAAGAATGAAAATGCTATCTTTTACAGAGAACTCCTGCAGGCCTTAGCCAGGTTACCTCTCATTGACATCAACAGGAGCTTGCCTGAGAAAAGGCTGCAAACTTTGATCCATAAATAGGATCTTAGCACATTTCACCATGGAAACAATTGCTCAGGTTAATTCTGTTCTCTTCAAGACTGTAACAAGAACTGCACTAGATACTTCAGAGATATCACATGCCTCGGTATTGCACATGGGGTTGAAGAGCTCAGTTTGGCTCAGTCCCAGTCACACTACTCCCCCTGACTGGCACTAAGACTGAGGTGAGCTGTCATTAGCATCTTGATTTCAAAAAGAGTACACCTGCAAGAAGAGAACATTGGTTGTATAGGAATGCTATACAACGTTCTACTACTCTGTTTCAGAAAAAATCTTTCCCAGAAACAAGATAAACGCAGCAGACTCCTCAAGGGGCATCCCGAACACCCCGATGCCCGCCGGGATCCTGTTCAGGATTCTCTCAAACCTGTACGGGTGCGTACAAATCTGCCGCAGCCAAAGCAGCCCCGCGTGCGGGCGCACCTCCCGGGGCTCCCCTACCCGCCGGTCCCTGGCTCGGCTCGAAGGGGTTAAGGCGGCCGGGACCCCCGCCCGCCGCCGAGCAGGCTCCTGACGTCAGCCCCGCGCACGGCGCAGCGCTCGGCGCGGCGGCGGCGGCGGCGGCGGGCGGAGGAGACCCGCGGCGGGCGGGCGGCTGCGAGCGGCCGGGGCTGCGCTTGGCCGCGGGGCCGCCGCCCGCAGCCCCGCCAGCATGTCCGCCAAGGAGCGGCAAAAGGGCAAAGTGACCAAGGACAGCGTCACCCTACTGCCCTGCTTCTATTTCGTGGAGGTGAGTGGCCGCTGCGCCGAGCCGGCTGGCCGGGGGCTGGCGGGGAGCGGTGCGGAGCCCATCCGCAGGGAACGCGGTGCGCCCGCGGACAGCGAGCTCGCCTCGGTGCGCTGTCCGCACCGTCTGATGCAAAACCCTTACGTGATGGTTTGCATCGCCGAAATCAGCATCGAAGCTCCCGATGAGGAGCAGGCGTAAATCAATCTCGTCTTTCGAGCCTTTTGAAGCAAGAATTATTTCTAAGAATTACTCAGAATATGAAAGGGTTACTCAACTAAATCGGGCTATGTGCACAGGAACCTCTCGGGAGGAAGACATGTTTCAAGAAGGGCTGGCTTCCAGGCAAATGCCGCTTGCATTGCTTCGATGGAATAAAAAATCACATTCATAAGGAAATGCTTAGAAAAATAGAAATGTTCTCAAATAGGTAATCACGGATATATTTCTGCTGACCCCTGGAGTATGTGTGTCCTCTATCAGAGCTAAAAATGTCTGTTTGGAAAACAGAAGGAGGTTCTCGGCACATCTTCTAGGGCAAAACCTGCTATGGCTGCTCAGCTGGTAGCAGGTGGAGTTGCAGAGACACTGGCTGCTTGGTGTGTCACTTGGAGGCACTTAGCCTGCCTGGAAAGTACAGTCACTTGGGTACTTCTGGAAGATCATTAGTAGATACAGTTTAAGCTTAAAGAAATTGTTGTGATGTGGATTTGTTTAATGGCACAGCAGAAAGAGGAAGGTAAAAATGTTTTATGGGTTGAGTAAAGTGTTTCATGTGATCCTACTCACAGCGAAGAGAGCCTGATGCACTTTGAGGTACCTAATTTAGGTAGGAAATAGATTGTGAAAATAATGTGAAGAACTTGATGGTAAAATACAGTGTAAGTTAACTATACCTGGCACTCAAAAGCATAAAAATATATAATACTTAATAGATAAAAATACACAAATATAAACTTAGGGTGAAATATAAAACAAAATATATTTTCTCTCAGGTGTACTTGCAGGGCTTTGGAGGTTCTCTAGAAGGTAGAATGGGGTTGGGCTCAGAAGGAATTTTAGGTAACAGTGGGGTGTTTCTGTTCTGTAAGCAGCTGGATGTGGTCAGCACCTAACACTAAACTGCACCAATTGCAAAGCTTAACAGGCATTGGTTATATGAAAGCATCAAGCTCATACTGTCAATGTGATTAGTCCTGCTCAAGAAAAGCCCTTTGATGCCATATATCTTATATTAGCTTTTGCATAGGAGGGAGAGGACAAGCTTGGAGAAGCCCCTAAGAAAAGGTAAAGGGCTTCTTCACTCTCTGTGCTCTCTTTGCTGCTTTGGGAATCCGGACAGGAAGGGAGGTTGCTGTACCTCAGCCTGAGCAGGACTCTAATGATGGAAATGATGTAGAGGTCCTGCAAGACACAACCCAACTTGTGCTGTTAGGTGGGCTGTGCTTTGGCCTGCAGCAAGATGGGATGAAATGCAGAGCAACAGCACAAAGTGTGTGCCTGCTGCTCTTAAGAGTTGCCTTATGTAAGACAACTGATTGCATACATATACTTTCCCTAGAAGCTCCCTGCAGCTGTTACAAGGGATAAGGTAAAGGATTCTGTGAGCAGTGAAGAACCTACACTGAGCTCTGCTTACAGTTCCCAAATGAGGCAGGCGAGTTTTCCACTCAGGTCTGGACTGTTAGCTCCCTCAGCAAGTCATTTCAAGCTTCATTTAAAAACAGGTGGAGATCTTTTCAACACCAGTTGCTGTGAGGGAGTCAAAGTCCTCAATTAACAGAAAGGTGTCCTAATGAACTTTTAAGACTTCTATATTATTCAGTCACAGAAGCAGTCAAGACCCTGTGTGAGCCCTTCCCTACCAGGAGTCATTTCTAATTATTGAACTGCAGACTTACAGCCCCTCTTGAACTGAAAAGTAAAAGCAACATCAAGAGAAAAAACTGGCTGCAATACACCTGAACCTAAACGTTGATTAGGAAACTTTTTGATGCGTTACCAGCTCTGTCCCATTACATAGCATTTGAAACCATTTCCCACTTCTCAGTTGAGTACTCAAATCACTTGGATGAAAGGGTAACAACAGTTCATGTGGTACTTGAAAGGAGCATGTAGCTCGTGTTCCCTGTGAATGCCCACTCTCTGTTTGCACACATGCACACTGATTCCAATCAGACTAATGAGAATGCCTTTCTAAAGCTTTGGAGCACAGCAAATGCCAGCACTTCAGCAGCATCAGGGAAAGGACATGACTTCAAATCTTCTGTTGTGATTGGCTCAAACAGAACCAGATTAAGTTGTACTCCATAAAGAGGGATTTATTCAGAGATCATTTAATTGCAATGAGAAGTTTGCAAGTGTAGGGGATAGAGGAGTCACTCAGTGTGGTTGACAGGCATTACCATGTCGTAAGGATTTCCAATGTAAGCAGGAGGTAAGGTCCTAATGCAATCCAACAACAGCCAACTATTTAAACTCAAAACTTCCCTACTTTAAATAAGGCTTTCTGAGTTTTAAAGCTTTTACTTTCAAAAATGGATGATAAGAAACAGGCTTTCAACCTCTTGCCTTTGAATGCTGTCAATTCTTTTATGTGTTTTTTTTTCTTTTGGCATTCATCCTCTTTTATTTTCCCTCTCCTGATCATAGCAGACAGTGCCTTTCCACTCAGAATTGCAACAAAAAAACCCCATAGCCCATTAAATTTCCACCTTCAAACAAGAAAAGTAGAGCTTGCTGACATCCACTTTCCAGCAAGACCTATTTAGAAGGTCTAGGCCCAAGGAAAAGCACATTGTTTAAAAAAAATATTTCTAAAAATGTGCTTGTTTTTTTCCTCTTCAATGCTAGACAAAAGCATAGACTTGGAAAAAAGATGTTGAGTTGACAGTTAAATTTTTTCCAGCGTGGTAGGAAAGAGATCTATTCATGCTATACAAATGAAATATGTTTTAAAGAGTGAAATTAGTGAAATAATACATGCAACAACCAAAATAATACAAGCATGCAGTACCTTAGAAACAGCAATATAAGTTCTGACACTAGGGGGTTTCAACTGTTAAGACCCTTAAGAATGTGTTATGAATGAGATTAATTCCAGTGAACAAATGTGTTTAGTGGCAGTGACTTTCAGGCTCAGATAAAAATATGATTACATAGAATGTAGGCAGGCCAACTGCCTGGAGAAAATGAGACTGAGGTGAGACCTCATAGCTGTCTACAGCTTCCTCACTAGGGAAAAGATGAGGGGCAGGTACCAATCTCTCCTCTCTGGTGACAAGCAACAGGACCCAAGGGAATGGCAGGAAATTGTGTCAGGGGAGGTTTAGGTTGGATATTACATAAAGATTCTTCACCCAGAGAGTGGCAGAGCACTGGAACAGGGTCCCCAGGGAAGTGGTCACAGCACCAAGCCTGACAGAGTTCAAGAAGTGTTTGGAGAACACTGGTGTCAGGCACAGGGTGTGACTCTTGGGGAAGGTGCTGTGCAGGGCCAGGAGCTGGATTTCAGTGGTCCTTGTGGGTCCCTTCTAACTCAGGACATATTCTATGAACTGATGGATAACTCAAACTGGCAGGTGTTTCCAACAAAAGAGTTAAGACATAAAACTAACATGCTCCTCTTAAGATTATTAGAGCTATTCTTCATTTACATGGCAAAAGCAAAAGGAGAATCAGGCTAGAGCTTTGAAAGACAGGGAAATGCAAAGGACAGCTTCTGAAAAATGCAGATGGGTAATTTTCTAAAAGCATTAGAGGCAAATATACATTATGAAGTAAATGTCAACACACTTTCAATTGCATGTTTTCAAGTTTCATGATTCATAAAATAATATAACTTGATGACTTATCCTATGTCTCGTAAGAATGTTTTAGGGGTTATTTTAAAGGACTGTTAATAGTTCTGCTTAGCAGAACTTCTGATTAGCACACACTCCCAAGAGCTGAATAATTTTAGATTGCCTAGTGCACACTTACCTGAAGGACATGGTAATCATCACCGTCAGGCAGCCAGGCCTCTTTTATTCCTAATTATGCTTAAGGCATTTTAGGGTTCTGTAGACTGACTGTATGGGTTATCTGAATTTCATTTGCATAGCTGAGAAAGACAAAGCTTTCCATGAAAATTCATAATCCCTCTGGCCTAGTGGGAATTACTTTTCATGGCAAAAAGTCTATATACTTCTGGGAGGCCTTGAAAATGAGTATTCCTGGAATAAGTTATGGGTTTTGTTAACTGACTTTGTTTTCAGCATATTCAGAGTATATCATTATTATATTCGCTTGGAAAAGAAATACTGATGTCTTGAATTTCAATATCAATCTGGAAAACTTCCAGAGTTACATAGTTTCCATTTCTGGCAGAGTGGTCACACTTTGGAATCAGGACAGAAAGATTTCTCTTGGTGAAGGAAATAGTCTTTACTCATGCTCTCCCATTTCAAAAACTGCTGGTTTCAATCCTGTTCTCTTGGAAGTTGCATAAATTTTGCCTTTGACTTCAGTGGAGTTACTGCTTCATCCAGTGCCTAATATATAGGAATGCAAAAAGTCAAGGTGGTGTCAATCTGCATGACTCGATGCATTTATTCTCCAGCTAAATTGTGTTGCTCTAGCACAGCCTTCATCTGCTGGTTGTGTAACTTCCAGGGATTAAAACTGGAGATATTTTAGAAATGTCCCTCGTTCAGTTAAATTTGCTTCCTTATGTTGTCTTCTAGACTCTGTGCTATGAATGCATATGGATGGAGCTTTTTCTACATTTTCCAAGTCTCAGCCAGGCCTTAATCAGTTTGGAAACACTTCCTCCAGTAGTAGAAGACCACTTATTTTCTTTGTTCCCCAAAGAAGTTGGAATTCTCACCAGCAGAAAGCACAAAGATCTGTTATCATTGTAGAACTCCAGGCTACAGAACTCAGGAGGTCACGAGACCCCACTGAAATAACTGCATGTAGAGAATAACCACTGTATCTCAGTAACAGATGGTTTACTTCTTTTT